ATTTTTTAATTTCAAATAAAAAATTAAGAAAATCGCTCCTTAGGGAGCGATTTATTTTTTTAAAAATATTTTAGAAATCGCTGTCAAGACAGCGATTTTACTTTTTCCGGCAAGCAAAGTCGCTGCCCTTCCAGCGATTTTGCCCTTTTGATTAAAATAAATATTCATATACTGCTTTAGAATTTTTATTAACATTTTATACCCTTTAGGCTCCGGACTCAACTTTAAGGCATGAAATCGTCATTCTGTTTTGTTTCATCGTCATTCCTCCCACTATTTAATTATATTACTTTGAAAAAATGGTTATAAAATAACCTGGTTTTATATGATATAATATAGAAAGGAATTATGTTATATTTATTTTTTCAATATATTGGTCTTTCTGTAACCAGAAAACAAAAAAATATACTGAAAAATTGAACGTGTTTCTAGCAATTATCTATTGAAGTCATAATACTTCGTAAAAAGTAGAAGTTGGAACAACTGAATAAAGATGAGGTTAATTTGAGAGGATAAATAAATAAATTCATAAGAAAAATAGAGTTTAGGGACATATTTGGTAGATTTTTTAAAGAGATTTTGACTAAAATCTCCCTCAACTATAACCTAAATCTAAAGTACATCTTTATATTAGAAAGTGAACAAAAAACATCTTTGCACATTTGAAAAATTGCAAGATTCATTTTTCTATCGATTTTTTTTAAAAACTCGAGTCACCTACAAAAAATGTGTTAAGTCGAATGACTATATGTACACACGATTAAGCTAGTCAAGTTGGGTGATTTTTTTACTTTTAGAAATTTAAGGATTAAAATAATCGAACAAAATATATTCAAATGCTAAATATTCTTGTAAAAAAGTTGTCCAAATACAACTCCATTTTCAAAAATTTCAAATAAAGTAATTATTATCTAATTTTCACAACAAAAAAATTTTCACAACAAAATGTCTACATAATTTAACTAAATTACCGTACTTTTATATATTGTATAAAATGTGAAATGAATTGTCTATATAGTATATACGTGTTATATGTTTTTTTGTATTAAAGAGAATTTTTAAAATGATTTTTTTTTGCATAATCTTTCAAACCATTGAATCCTACTGTATAAATATTTCACAACTTACGTATTGTTATTTGTTGCAAGTCAATTTACTTGATTATGCAAAAAGAAAAATAATATAAACTAACAACAAAATTTATATTATGAGAATAAAATATTTATTTTTTTATTCATATCCTTATTCTTTTAGGTGACATTGATCTTCTCGATTTAGCTAAGACATGACTAAATTAAAAAAAAATATTTTTATTTGTTCAATTAGTTTCTTAACAAAAATAGACTGCAGGTTGATTCTTGTTATTTTTTAGATACTATAAAAATATTTTTTGCTCACTTAGATAATATAAATATGTACATTAGATTTGAGTCATAATTAAGAGATGATTTTAGTCAAAAACTTGATTTTATAACTTGGGCCAACAGTAGTACAGTAATTTTCTACTCTAACCAGGCAGATTATATAGCTTTTTCATAAAAATAGGAATGTGATACATTTCATTTAACATTAATATTTGATACATGAGGTAACATATTGAATTTTTAACATAACAATGATAAATAATTACAATTTCAGTTTCATTTTTGTGAAAGTATGTATGGCATCATACAAATCAATTATTATCTATTCTATGTTTTTTTATAAGCAATTGTCAGGTTTTTGTAAACCAGAAACTCTTCCGCTAACATTAATACATGAAGCTTTAGTCGGATGATCATTGTAACTAAGATTCAAATCTTCAAGTGTTATGCCGCTACATGGATTTCTTTTGCTGCAATCAATTTTCACTGCAACTTTTGTAGCCGATGTTCCGTGTATATCTTGATATGTTACATCACTTATCTTTACGCCTGAGCCCTATGAAAAAAATTAATAATATAATTAGACTAAGGTAAGGGAACATGATATATAAATTAATTAACTTGTACTCAATCAATACCTTATGAGGACAACTTTGATGGTTAGGGCAATAATTTTGATCTATGATGATTGGATTTTTAACATTAACCATAACAATATGTTGAAACAGAACATTTCTAACAAAGCCATTGCTAGGCCTTGCCCAAGTTTTAACTCTCACACCATTTGTTGTTCCACTGAAAGTCACAGTCTTAATTGTCACATTTTGGACTCCTGACTCTTGCTTTTTCCAGCCTAAGCTTCCAATGCTGCAACAACATTATGTTATCGACATAAATTTTAGTTGAAATGATAAATCAATGAAAATGAAAATAAATTTTATGTTCCAAACCTTATTCCATGGCCAGGGCCACAAGCAATGCCTTCAATCCATAAGTTAGAATTTCCAGGGCCAATGGATATACAATCGTCTCCAGTACCAATTTGTGATTTCATAATACTAATTCCTGATGATAATTTTACATGAATTCCATCTGTGTTGGGACTATCTCCTGGAGCTGATACCTTCAGTCCTTGTAGCTTTACGTTACGACATCCGTCTATCGAAATTTGAAACTTTTGACTATTTTGTACGGTTACTCCACTCATTATAATATTGTTTGATTTGTAAAAATTCAATGCCTGCGCCAAAATTTAAGGTAAAATTAAAATTTTTACTCATCATCATGTCAAATACTGAAAAATATTTTTTTTATGAAAAACGTAACGAACCGTAGTGCCATCAGGGCAGTCGTCGTAGTCGGAGTTCTTGCAAGCCCAAAGAGAAGCACCTTGACCATCAAAGGTTCCACCATATATGGAAACGCCATTGACTTTTTCAAATTTTATCCAATTTTCTTCATTGCCAATCGCATTATAATCAGATGGAGCTAAGAGAGTCCCATCAATGCGTATAGTAATAGCGTTGCTCTGGCATCGTTTGCCATTGAAGTATGCATTACGAATCAAGTAATTTCCACGTGGCACGTAAATAGTGGACGAGCTAGTAGAAGCACAGACTGCTGACCAGGCACTCAAAAAGGCTTCTGATGAATCAGTTTCTCCATCGGATTTTGCTCCATAATTTTGGACATTGTAAATATTGGTATTTGCTGCTAATGATGAGTTGATTAAAAAGAGGAAGAAAATTGCTAAGGGACTCATTTTGTCCAAATAAAAACTTTTGGAATGATCAAATTGAGGTAATGAGGAATTGAAGTACTTAATTTAGAGTGATATTTATAGGGTGTACCTTATTGGTGAAGTCAATAGAAGGTAAAGAGTTTTAATTGTTATTTTTGACTTCATTGAAAGTTAGTTATTTCTTCCAGATTTGGTTCTTGTTGAAAAAAAAAAAGAATAGTTAATTCAGATAAATATGAAATTGACAATTTTGTTGACAACCTACTTGCGTTACAAACACTGAAAAATAACGTTTTCTGACCTTCAACTTCCCATTTACCTAGTGCTTTCTGGACCCAATTATATGCATAGAATTAATTACGAATGAATTAGGAACAATTGTGTCAAAAAGATTTAGCCAGTACTAATTCAAGTTGTTGGAATATACTTATTCTAAGTTGACTATATATTTTTATGGGTGATGAGCTTATTTAATATTCACTCCGTCCATTTTTATTTGTGATGATGTGCTTTTCAAAAATCAATTTGTTTTTCAAAGTTATTAGATTGCATTAATTTGATATTTTAAGTCAAAAATTCAAAAAATATATAAAAAGTACTATAAGTTGCAATTTTTTGCATATCAACATGGTGAAAAGATACACCTTAAAATGTTAGTCAAAGTTTTTATAGTTTGACATTGAAAATAGAAATTCTTTCAATTAAAAGTGGACGGAGGAAATAGAAAAATAAAAAAATGTTTTATAAATATAAATTAATTACAAATATATATCCCTTACATTGATACTCACTAAATAATTACTATATATGCATCAATTGATAATTTTTGCTAATACTAAATCAGTATATATGATTGTGTGTGTATATATATATATATATATATATATATATATATATATACGGGTGATAAACTAACCAAAAAAAGAGAAAAAAATAAAAATATTACTAAATGGTATCTCTAATAAAAGATACTATAAAAAAGAATAAAAATAACAAAAATGAGAAAAGAATAATTAATGAGAAAGAACAAAGTAATAAATGATAAGATAAAAACAATAAATGAGAAAAAAAGAATAAAAATAATTAATAATAGGACAAAAAAATTGAATTGGAGCAAATTGGGCCTATAATGTAAAAGCCTGGGAGCTGAGCCTAAAATTAAAGGGAGTTGAAGGAAAACTTGGCTTAAACTAAATAGGGGTATATGCTATAAATCATTAATTATTTGGACTCTATAAAAATATAATTATTTTATATTTTATGGCCCATTTATATAATTCTCCTTATTTAATAGGAAAATTATTTAAGTACATAACATAACTTTATTAATTTTCAATATTTCTATACTTTTTTATTAAAATATAAAAATTCTTTATTTTCTCCTAAAAATACTTAATCGGATACTTTATTATTTTGAAGCAAAATCAGACCTTTTTCATTCCCTAATTATCGCCCTCAATCTCTCCCACTAAGATTTGAATTATCAAATCAAATAATTTTCAATTCAAAAGAATTCTATGACTATTCAACCATATTCAGAGTTCAAATTAGATTTTCTCATTTTTTTTCATTGTGATTTTCGTTTTTTTAATTATTATTATTGTGTATCAATAGTTTAGGCTTGCATTATGCATCTAACATCTAACAAATCTATAATTTTTGTTTCAGGAGATTCTAACAGCAAAGAATTGAAGATTGCATGAGCCCATAGTCATAACAAATCAAAGTTCTAGTAAGAAAAAAATGGGAAAAGAGAGTATATGTATCTATTTCAAAAAATTTAAAAATTCCAAAGGGTAAAAAGATTGCCTTCCCATTATTCGACCAACATTATCCACGGTATGCAATTTTTATCACATATGTATCCTCTATTATTTTTTTAATCTGATGATTCTTATTTTTCAATTAAGTATCCTCTTTGAAATTTGCAGTTGTTTTTCAGATGCATTAATTTTTTGTGAATTTGTTTAAAATTGTTATTGTATCAAAAGTGAAGAGAACTGTATATAAGTAAAGTACTCAAATCACATTTACTTTGTCATAAAGTATTGACTATTCAATGAGCAATTAGATTTGTGTTTTTTGTCACTGTATGTAAGGAATAATGGAATTTGTGTACCTTTTATGTTTTGTTGTTATTTAGTATCAAATAACATGAACATTAATGTATCTAAGATACTTGTTTAATGCTTATTTTGGCTTGTTGGTTGATTTTGTTTCTGTGCATCATATTCCACGATAATTTTCTATATGGTACTTAATACTCAGATCACATTTACTTTGTCATAAAGTATTGATTATTTCATGAATAATTAGATTTGTGTTTTTTTGTTACTTTATATAGAAAATAATGAAATGTGTTTACCTTTTATGTTCTGTTGATTTTGTGTATCAGTCATGTATTGTTAATATGTAGTATAAAATGATATGAAACATAATATTTGAATCAATGTCTGGCCTTTCCCCTTTAGTTATGTATGTATCTTTTTTCCGTTTGCAGTGACTTCAGAACATATGTAGTTGCTTTTGCTGAATGTTTTAAAGATGAAATGAAAGTCCCATCGAACCCTTTTCGAAGTGACTATCGTTGCTCAAAATATACAACATTGTTATGGAAATATGGCATCGCCAAAGTCAAGGCGAGCCTTAGCTAGAATGATGATCCCACAAGGCTAAAGGATGTCTTCATACCATTGGCAAATGATGAACTGATTAATATATAATAGTAGTTTATTTACTGACTTACGAGATAAGTTTTATTGTTTTAAAGATACCTTAAGTGTTTTGGAGTATTCATTCCCAGGTCAACATTATATTTCTAAGTAATCCGTACTTCTAAATTTGAAGAGTTTTTATGTCCATAATTTTTATGTCGCTTTTAAATTCGTTTTCAATATGCATATTATAACTATTTACATATCACTTCAGTTTATGCTATAGTGAAAATGATACAAAATTTTCACAAAATTATTAAGTACATGATACAATATTATTTTCACAAATAACAAAATTTTATTTTTCACACAACATGGTACAAATTAAATCTTATTAGATTGGTACAAATCACAACAGATGATACTAAATCAATATTATGTATATGATCCTTAGGTGCTTCAAACAACTCAAATTGATACGATTTAGTAAACTCATGCCAAAGTTACAACGATATTAAGTATCAGATATACAATTATGATACCAAATTACTCTAACTTTTTTAAGTTACTATTAAATTTCCAGAAAAATATTATGTACATAAAACACAATTGCGTGCTCAAATATCAAAAATTATATTTATATGATATATATTATTGGTAAAAAATACAATATCCGATACTTAATTATTAGTAGATACAAAATTTAGAAAAAATATTATGTATATGATATATATCATTGCTTCAAACGATACCTTTTTTACATGTCATCTCTTTTAACTTTGGCACACAACACAACTATTGATAATATTATTCTATTCGATACAAAATTTACAAACAATTAAGTATCAGACACACAACAACGTATACCAAACTAACTTTATTAAAAATTAAGAATAAAAAAATGTAACCAGGATTGAAAACATAACATTTTCATTTATCGCATCATAAAATAGTAACCTAAAAGTACTTCATAAAGTATATAATTTGAGAATTATTAGACATGAAGCATAAAGTATTTCTAAAAAGCATGCATCAAGAATCTTACGCGAAGAAAGTACATGTATGCTTCCCTTTTTCACCTTCAACACACACAATTTCACCTGTTGTTGCATCAAAATTTTGTATCTCTTCATCACTTTTATCCGATGTATCAATGCATAGTGAATACATACTGAATCCTACCTCATGTTTCTTCATTTCTATGTACAACTTCACCCCATATCATTCAGAATACACAATGGAGACAAATTACCTTCAACAATAAATCTGATCTCAATGTGTTTTTTTTTCAATTCATCAATACTAATTCAACTGCAATTGCTGAAATAATATTTGCGAACGAGATATTTTCTTCAACTACTATCACATCACTTCCGTATCGCTCGTATCTAACATCACTTTCCCATGATCCAAAATGCCTTAACAAGATCAAAATATTAATTGCGTTGGTGCAAAATTGTTTTTAATGTTTTTCGAAGAACAGGAAGAAAATTTCACAATTTGAAATTTGAAAATTATAATTCAGTTAGAGGTTTATGACTGATTGGTTGAAGTAAGAAACGTAAACGTAATTTGTGGGAATCAATTAATTTCTGTTTTTAATCCCTTATTTAATGCTTAAACTGATAACAACAACTTAATAATTAAGTATCAGTCGTTATTAACTAAAATATTCGCATACAATATTATGTATTCAAAAAACACTATTTTTTTTTAATTTAGTAATTAATGAAAAAGTAGATATAAGAAATATTTTCTTTCTTAATGTAATTTGCGCAATGGATGATTTTGGGAGACTATAGGGATTATAGACTACTAGGTATTTGGGTTTAAGAAATATCTCACAAGGTTAATAACATGCATTGAGTTAAACACATGTTGAACTATGTATTTGCAATTTAGAAGTTACTACAAAATGCTTGTTAAAAACCCAAAACCCAAACAAAATTGGACTTTAGGATGGTACAGATATATCTGAATTATTCTGAAGGATGGCGATTGTCCTAACTCCCAAGGTGACTTTGAAATAGTCAAGTCGCACAACAAATTTACAACATCTATGTACAGATTTTTTTATATATTTTACCTGCCTCTGTGATGCACTTTGAATTTTGAGAGTTAAATATTTTTTATTTTTTAAAATTTAATTTGTATATTTTTAAATTGACAATTAATACGACTTATTGTACATTCTATCTAATAATTAAATGTAAATTTTATTTCATTTTTTTAAAAAGTATATCATACCTAAATCTACTTTAGAAATTCAAAAGTTTGATGCTCAATATTTGAATCGTGCATTTTAAAAAGTCAATATGAAACATGGAATCCCATGGATACGTGCATGCATGCAAGAAATATGCAACTGGTAAGAGGATAATTTTTTTTAATGGATAATAGTATGGAATGACAAATTAATAATATAAAATAAAT